GAAATAAAGTAGAACAAGGTAAGCAGAAGATTAGAACAAGGATGACACAGGGTGCAATGACACCGGCGGCTGGCAGATGACAGTCTCAATGACAGTTTGTAAGACGGACCACATAGCAGACCCAACGGCGGTCCCAATGGGAGCCAAGTTTTCTTTGTTCTTTCTTTGTTTACATATCATTCAATAATAATTCAGCGCCGCAACAAGTTATAGCAGTGTGACAGCACTACAGGGCTAGGCACTCTGATTCACAGGCGACATTTTGCTATCATCATTATCTGTGGCGCCTGCGCCTGCGGCTCGTCGTGGTTGGTGGCCACCAACTGAGGATGATGCCGTCCGAGCACGTCGATACGGGTTGCTGAAGCTGGGCAGCGAGCGCTCGAGCACTGAGCAACGCCAACCTGATGAACCTGGTCCTGACTGACACCATCACAACACATGTGGGCCCGGTTCCTCCCCCGAGACCCCCGAATCTTGTGCTATGCCTTCAGGGCCAGAAGTCTCTACTTTGTATATATTGGTCTCCTCGCTAGAAATATTTGGCGGACTAATAACCACCGAGCACCGAAAAGCTGGGGTAGCGGGAGACCGAGACACTGAGGGGCAGGGCGGCCGTCTGCTGTTGACATCCGTTCCCGACTCCCGCTATCCCAACATGCTGGGCCCGGGTCCGGTTCTACCCCAAGGTAAATCTGAGGCTGACGACCAGCACACAAGATGCGCAGGCGTCTGCGCAGACGACGCGCACAGCTGCTGGGGTGTGGGAAGTGCAGCGGGGGCTGGTTATTAAAGGCTGGATCTTCGATGATCATGCTGGACCTCGGCAGCACGCGCGGCGACGGGAATGCGATTTAAGAATGCGATTTAACGACAGTAGGCCGCCCTGGTGCAGTTGGGAAACTCCGGGCCTGCAGGACTTTCAGCGAAATCGGCCAAGGACTAAGACCGTGGCGCACCATTCTGGGAGGAGGATGGAATTGGGTGGGGCTGAGCATTCAGGTCGCGACAAGCGCGCTGAGACAGATAGAATATATTGGAAAGGTCCCGCAAGTCATCCCAAGCGTGGCTGATTGTCTCCGGGGCCTATTCGAGGCGAAACGGGCGAGTTTGGCCCAAGCTCGGGACGCGAGTGGGAGAGAATGAGGCGAGCGAGCGGCGGGAGACAACCGCTGGCCCGTTCGTGCTGAAATTTTCAGCGTTTGGAGAGACGCCCCGTAAGCGCCAAACGCCGCGGTTTGGCACGAAACGGAACAGGATTAGGCGCGGGGGAAGCCGGGGAAGTCAGAGACTGCAAGTGTCGGCGAGCGGGAACACGTGAGACGATCGCCGCCGTTTGCGCGGTGATTTAAGTGCCTAGGGGGCCAATTCATATGGCGCTGTTTGGCGGGATTCGGCTGGGAAACGCGCCCGGGGTGGCCGAGGGAATTTTGAGCCCATGGCGCGTTCAGCGGTCTCGGTCGTTGAGATTTGGGAAGGGGAGTGGTGTCCCAGATGCTCCTCCGAAGATGGGGGGGAATGGCCCAGAATTGACTGTAGGGAGGGCAGGCACAGTGTTTGGTGAGCCGGCTGAAGCCAGGGGGTTTTAACAACACACCTTCCCTCCCTAGCTCTCCATTCGACCCTCTACATTCCCCCCAAATCCCTCCCCACATCGCAGTCCTTCTACGCACACGCCGTTGTCCGAGCTTGTCCGAAGTGGTGAGTGGTTGGCGTGAGAGGCAGCCGTGAGTCACATCCGGAGCTCCGATCCGCGTGACCAGAGCTCACGCACGGTCCGACTTGCGAACACCATGGAAATCAGGCCAAGTGTGTGATTCTCGCATGCAGAGCGGCAACAATTTTTGCTTTACAAGAGACAAAGAAGGTCTCTTTGTTCAGCTGGCTCCCAGCCAAACCGCCGTTGGGTCTGCCATAAGGACTGTCAGTCATGCTGTCATTCGGCCGGTCATCGGGCTCCCATCTCCCAGCCGCCATTGCCATTGCCCCCGGTGTGAGTCAAGTAGTAAGGGAGTTGTATATGATTGCATAAATTATAAATTGGGGTAATTGTATATGTTTATCTAGTCAATATATACAACTCTTATTTTGTAACAATCTGTGACATTTTCTGTTGATTGTACTGTCAAATGGTGAAATTTTCCTTTTTTTGAGAAGTTGCCATGCTTGTTACTCTCAGTGATACTATGTAAAAGTGTGACATAGGTGCTAGGACCAGTTCAGGTATCTATTAGTGAAAATTTCCTTTTGGGGAGGATATGTCACACATGACACATAGGATGACTTCAGAGACTTAGTGTGCATGGCCTGTGTGGTATTGTTCAGCTTTTTTTCAACTCCTACATACTAGACTCAGTGTAAAATTTCCCTCAGGAGCCAAGCAGATGTCAAGATGCTTCAAGTTGTCATGGTGGGTCCCAGAAGGCCCTTAAAAACTTTTACTATATGAAAGTTTGGGGGGTTCTGGTAGGTCTGATGTTGGTTTTACACTACATTTGTACTATTTTGGCATAGAATATAAAGTGGATATACAAAATGCCTACTACTTTCCTATGGGAAGGCTTCCAACTTACTTGGGGTGCAGTGTGACTACAATGTGACTGGTGTCATAAATTCATCATTGCTTATTGATTACATATAGCCTTGGATGACCTACTAGGGACTCTGTGAAGGCTCAAGTCCTATATATCTATAATAAGTCATAGTATTTTCATGAATTTAATTGGAAATATGAATTTTATCACCACTTTTGATTGTATTATTAGGTCACATGATGAGAGATCATGGGAATATATTACCCAATATGGTAAGGGTCCCTTAAAAAATGTTTCGCCAGTATATCTGTTTTTTGAATAATGATACCCCCCTTGTCAGGAGCTCAACTTTTCAACTTTATTCAACCCCCCTACTGTCAAACTTTGGGTTGGGTCATGCAAGGCTCTCCTTAGAAATACATGCCCAGAACAGAACAGATGGTTTGTCTGGCCCACAAGCAAGGCCGCGAGCAGAGTTAAAGTCAAGTTGAGAGGGCCCGGTACAGCGGTCTCTCGTAGTCATTGACATGGAGTCATATTAGGTTGTCAGGGCCCAATGGGTCATTGGTACCATCTTGCATGGAGAGAAGTGGTACAATAGATAATAAGTGATAGAGTACATGGGTACACTATTACACCTACCCAGAATTATTCAACTGGCAGGGCATGCTGAAAACAACTACTGTAGTAATTTATTCAATTCGGCACCTCAAAATGGTGTGACATCGGCGCCAAAATTAAATTTTCGGCGCTGCCTGTCGATGTGTGTGACAGCCAAAATTTTTCGGCCTATTTGGCGGCCCGGAGGGCCGCCAAATTTTTTTTTGATGCTTTGATGGGCATTTGACATTCGGCATCTGGCTGTGGGCCCGTGACATGCCGAAATATTTCAGCGCCGGAGGGCTGGTGTGACGCGTGACCGCCGAATTGAATAAAATGCTACAGTAAGCCTTCAAGTTATCAGTGGGCTAAACAGGTGCTGACTCTTTATATACAACAAATATCTTCTATTGACTATAAAACTAGACTCTGAGGACTCTGCCAGGGATCTATCTATGTTACACATTACAGATAGTCTCCCCGTGGACACCCGTGGTCTCCGTTATACATTCAGGCCTGGATTATGATTAAAAACAGCCTTAAATAGATAATTTTCTTTGTTCCTGTCTACAATCTGTCTCTGTTATTGCTGTTCACCTGTTAAGTCTGTCCTGCCGTTGTATTGTCCTGCTGTCATCTCCTCTGTTCCGCTTCAAGTACCGTGACCATGTTTAACCCTGTGCCCCATTATTCAAGAATCAATATTACCTCATCACCTACATTGCTCCAAATTATCTAATCGACCCGAAGTTGTGTTTTCTGAATTGCAACTGCTATATACTTTAGTAGGAGCCCCCAAACTCGCATGCTTGTGAAAACCAAACTACCTCAAATCAAACTCTGACGTGATTTGATTGATCCGACTGATCCAAAGCTTGGCATAGGTGGTTTAGGTCCAGATTAGGTTGTGTGTTGTGTTGTGTGTGTCTGTTTGTTTGTGTTTGTGTTGGAGTTGGGTTTTGTGTGGTTTTGTGTTTCTCTTTTAGTGCTCTGTTGTGGTTCACCCTTTTCAAGGGTTTCAACGGTAGTCTGAATGCCTTGTTTGGTGGACACTTTGTGTTATGTGTTACATGCCCTGGACACTTGGATCAAAATAGGACAGTAGTCTCTAAGTAATTACTGAGGCCACCCCTATCATGATTCCTAATTTCCAATATTTACTTTCTTTGTCTTCCCAGACTCAACATCAACAGGACTATATAACACATACTAACTGCAAATTGATTGAAACCCTATAGGATATGAAAGTTAAACTTGAGGCTCCATTCAAGTAACTGTCATTTCTGTGGAGTGACCTGCCAACTTTCCATAGCCATATTTAGCTTGTTCATGAAAATTGCCAGTCCAAAACTCTGTCACTATAAGCAATCAGTTGGCGAAAGCTGCCGTGAGGATTGAGCCAATGACTAACTTGTATGACTCCTGCTTTCTTTTGCCTGATTAAATTTTCTGCAGGCTGCAGCATCCCAATAGCATAGGCCATCGGAGCAATCAAATAGACACTCGTCCCAGAATACGGAAATCGCATGCAAGAATGCATCCTGAGTTTGACCTTCGTCAGCTGTCGTAGCCCCCAAAACAATTTTCCGATAGAGAAAAGGCTCTAACCTGGGTCTGTGATTAGTATGTCTCCCGAATAGTAACTTGTAATAGAATATCACCAACTCGTCGTGCTACCAAAACCAGAGGTAGAACATAATTCCAATTAGTCTCTGCGGCCATCTCGAAGATTTCACGTTCCAGCTCCGGAGGGAGGGCAGGCTCGTTGCCAGACATGATAGAGAGAAGAGAGAAGCACTAGCAGTTCTGAGTTTATGATGTGTCATAATCTGACATGACTTGATATTATTGAAATGATCGCTACAGCTATGCTACCTTCCGTGGAGTTAGCTTCAACCTGCACCCATCACGAGGGAAGCATGTCGCAATGATACTGCCCGAGTTGTCAGGTGCATTTTAGTTAAAAAATCGACCATACTCACTCGATCTTATCCGAGTTCGGTGTCCGTTCATGCTCCCAGTCAAACGTCGACGCCGCAAGGCCCAAGACGATAGCCATATTCATCATCGCATACTCAAGCCCGATGCATTTGTGGGGCCCGGAGCCCCAGACCATGTAGTTCTTCGGGTTCTGGTTGGCGACGCCATCTGGGTCAAGCCAGCGGTCCGGGACAAACGAGAAGGGCATTGGGTACACGGATGACTCGTGAAGGGAATTGTAGAACGATGGAATGAGCATACTTCCACTTGGGACAGTGTAATCGTCGGCAATTTTAAAGTCCTTGGTCGCTTTGTAGGGGACCATCAAGACTGGCGGTTGGAGACGTAGACTTTCCTTGACCACTGCGCGGAGATAGGGCATGTCGTCGAGCATTTCGATTGTGAGCGGGGTTTCGTAATTTCCCTTCCTCACTCGGTCTTGTTCATCTCGAACTTTGTCGAGGACAGCAGGGTGGTCAACGAGATGCTGGAAGCCGTAGATGAGCCCGCTGCTCATAGCGTCCTGCGACGCAAACAGGAATGAGAAGACCACTAAGGCCATCTCCTCGTCGGTAAAGTCCTTGCGACCTTTATAGGCGGGGTCAGCCAGCACCCGCACCCATTGGTCGAGCAAACACGTAGGCTCTGCACTGTCAGCGTTGAGCATTGCCAGTTTGCTCCTATGCGCCGCCAGCGTCAGCCATCTCATTGCCACCTTGCGGGACTGGATAGCGTTGTAGACGTTGGTCCCCGGAAATGCGAAAGGGAAGTTGACAAGCTGGAGTGCTTTTGTGATGTGCCAATATGTGTCACCAATTTCGCGGGTCGCTTCGTCGGGGATGTGCGACCCGCAAAAAACGCGAAGGGAGGTGGCCATATTGAGATGCCGCGCATTCCACATGATAGGCTTAGCGCTACTGAACTCTTGTGACCACTGGGCGAAATGGGCGCGGGTGGTTTTGTCTTGTATAGCAACGTATATTCTCCAACGGCATAAGCGGGAGGCAAGGCAAGGCACTGAGATGATGACACACCCGAGGGCTTTCCGCGTAAAGAGTGCTGTCAGACCTCGGCGAAACTCGACATGTGTTTTGCCGTTGAGAAATATCCTTTTCAGTCAGTCTCTTGACGCCAGAATAAATAGTCATACTTACCAGTTTTCCGGCAGTAGAATCGACTTGGCAGAGTGGACGAGACACGGCTCGACTTGCAGCGGTGAGTTCATGATCTTGCGGGCGTACTCGTTCGATGAAGCCATAACGATGAATCTGCAGTCATTCCGCGTCAAGGTCAACACATAAAAGAACACAGTGGCACACAACGCACATATTGAATACGCTGGCAACGCTCAATGGCCCAGAGTCCCATCCTTTCCGGTAGTTCTCCATGGTTGGGTGCACCGAGTCCGCGAAGCGCCCAATGAGCGGGATTGTCCATGCAGGTCCAGGCAGGTGCCGCTTTTTAAGACGGTAAAACGTTTGTTCAAGTACGAGGAGGGCGATGAGGACGGCGAAGGTCGTTGCAAGCCACGGGATATTGAGCAGTCTGTCGATGGAAAGCCCCAACTTGAATCCAATGGGGGAGGAACACATCTTCAGTTGTGCGTGTGCGACGGGTACCGCAATTTAAGAGCTAATCGAAAAACATCGCTTGGGTCGCATATTTCGCTGATAGGTGGCTGATCGGGAGGTGGGAGAGAAGTCTAGGCTGTGAAGGAGTTGCAATTGAAGACCGAGGCACAGGCAAAACCGACTCGGAGTCAATCGAGATGCAATTCTTCTATTGATTGGGGATGCCCGAGCAGTGCAACAGCCGGCATTGGCGGCGGATGGATGCTAGAAGCTGTCAGAAGTTCAAATGAACCAACAGACTCGAATGACATCAAGGCAAAAGGCAAGCGGCTCGTGCGACTGCCAGTGCGATCATTAAGTCAACAGGCCGTCGGATCTGATGGGCCGCTTCGGTCCGATCGCGCGCTGACGTACGCATGACGACGTTCTTTTCACTTGCTTCAAACAGATACTGCAGGGCTTTGTCGACGGAGATACAGGTAGGGACAATGCGCCAGGGATGGCAGGCCCGGGCAACCGGGCCACGCGAGTCCGGTTGCTTCGTCCGCACAAGCTCCACTGTGTGTGCTTTGACTTGCCTCTTGCCTTGCCATGGCATAAAAGCCGCATCGACACACTTTCACCAAGTCTGTCAACCTCTGGTCAACTCTGTTACCCCCCTCCCGCACCACTCCGAAGATCCCTTTGGGCTCCCCATAAAACATCCTCCGTGGTCACTGTCGCCATCGAATCTCTTGCTAGGACTTGGATGGAGCCTGACACCACCACAGCACGAAATGGCCCCGCGACTGGTCCTCTTCTGACTCATGCCACTCCATTCATTCAACTTGAAATCGATCGGACCATCCGCTCTGAATCGCGTCTTTCCCTCGCCGAAACAAATCTAGATTCTGATACCGACTCGCGTGTCGGGGACTGGGGCTATTCTGATAGCGATGAGATTGAGCGCGTGGGCGATTTGGAAGAATGGCAGTCGCTCGCAACCGAGAATGGGAGAGCAAACAACGGAGCTCAGACGGCGCTCCCGCTTTTCTTCCCCGATCCTGACGCTGCCAATTCGGACTCGGGAATTGACGACACAAGTGCCTCTGACTCAGATGGCGCCGATGCAGACGAGTCCTCCATCGGCGATAACGACAGCGATGCTCCGCCTACATCTGACTCGGAGGACGAAGAAGAGCCTGGCTCTGTCACCTACCACTCCGACTTCGACGAGGCCCCAGAGCTGGACGCAGAGTTGGTCTTTTGGCTTCACGAAAACAGCAACCAGCTTACGACCACTCACCCGGCGCAGTCAACCATCGCCTTCGAAACTCGTGCCCAACGGGCTGCACCGAAGATTGGTCATCTTCTATGGTTTCTCCTCAGCGAGGACGGTATTTTGAATGCACTTTTTGACGGGCAGTATTGAATACTACAATGAATAGAAGCGCTCACGCGAGAAGTGTTTTTAGAGTGTAACCTGTGTACTTATATTACTTTTTCAATTTTCGGGTCACTAGTCACGTTTTGTTGATGGTCCGTGCGCCATGATTGTGTGATCGGTGATTCTTTGCTTCTTCCCAACCACATCCACCAACCAAGCTCTGGGTCGACAGTCCCGAAATTCGAATCGAAGTCCTTCAATTTCAGAAAAATACGCAGCCTATGCTTTTCTCTTCTCGTTGTCCATAGACGGCTTCTTAGAACCCGACCCGGTTCAAGCTTGTGATATCCCGGCCCGTCATGACAATGAATCTTATGTTGATCTTATGTACAGTCGAACCCCTCCTAAACCATACCTCTCTAAGTCCATAAACCCTTATAGTCCATAGAAAATTGTCCGCACCAGCTTCGTCCGCAGGAATAAGCCATAGGTCATTAATAAACCATAAACCATGCTCTTTTTAGGTCGATAACCCATGATTCTGTCCTAAAAAGGAAATTTGATGATGAATCACAAAATGATGATTGCGTAAATACGAGTTTTTTGACAGCGAAAAAAGTGTCTATGGCTCCTAATACCCTCCAAAAGCTCAAAAAAGGGCTCTCAGCCCTCAAAAGTCATGTTGGTCGGCGCTCTAAAACACTCCAAGAGCGTCTGGCTCAAGGCAAAGAGGTCTCCGAGGCAGACCTTGAATGGCTTGACAACTCAGCCAACCTTGTCGATGAGCAACGCGCTCTAGAAGCAGTTGAACAAGCTTCAGATGTCGAACGTGGCATTTCCCGCCTTACTGAGTCAGGCAAGGCAGCTCTAAAGCGCCTTGAAGAGTTTGCCAACGGTGTCAAATCTGCGGTTGCTTCACAGGCAGTCCCTGGACAGAAGCGTAAACGTGCGTCCTTGTGTTTTCTATTTTGGTCTGTCTTACCGTGCACCAGGTCCTGAGCAGAAGCCAGTTATTCCAGCTGGCAAGAAACCGGGAAAGAAGAAAGAAGTCGCCCCAGAGTTCACACACAAAGAAAACGCCACCCTGTCCCAGCGAATCGAAGTCCTTGATTGGCACAATGCGAATGGCAAGAACCAGACCAAAACAGCAAAGCATTTTGATGCCAAATGGCCCAACCTACGTCTGAAACAACCCATCATCTCTTCCTGGGTCCGCGACGAGACAAAATGGCGCCAGCAGCATGCTCAAAAACACGCACAATGCCAACGCCAAACGGGCACGCCAGACTGCCCATCCCGATGTGACAGAGATGATGGAGTTGTGGACGGAGCAGGCACTTGCCAATGGGCTCTTGTTGAGTGGTGACGTCTTGCGACACAAGTGGAAGGAATTTGCTGATGTGGCCCACATACCGGAGGAAGAGAGGCTGGCCTTGAGCAATGGCTGGCTCGGTCGCTTCAAGCAGCGTCTTGGCATCTTTCAAGTCAAACGACATGGAGAGGCGGCATCTGCTGACGCTGAGGCGGTCACGGCGGAACGAAAGCGTGTCCAGGAGTTGATAAAGAAGGGAGGATATGCGTTGAAAGATGTCTACAATATGGATGAGACAGGCTTGTTTTATGCGTGCGTGGTGGTTTCTCCCAAGTTGACGACTGCTGACGCATGCCATAGATTCGTTCCAGACCGCGGCTTGTCAGACAAAACGACCAGCGGCGTCAAAGGCAACAAAGTGCGGTTGACCTACGCCTTCACTGCCAATGCTGATGGCACCGACAAACTTGAGCCTTTTGTCATTGGCAAGGCCAAGCAACCCCGCTGCTTTCAGAAGCGGGCAGCTCGCACACTCGGCTTTTATTATCGCAACAATGCGAAGGCATGGATGACGACGGTTCTGTACCAGGAGTGGTTGTCAGCATGGGATGCGCAAATGCGACTGGCCAATCGCAAAATCCTACTTCTCCAAGACAACTTCTCAGCCCACAAGCCTCCGGAAAATCTCACCAACATCACTGTCGAGAACTTTGAGGCCAACCTCACTGCACATGTACAACCCAACGACGCTGGCATCATACGTTGTTTCAAGGCTCACTATCGGGCTCGCTACATCCAACGTGCCATCGACAACTACGACAAGGGTGTGACCCCAGCAAAGGTCTACGACATCGACCAGCTCGAGGCGATGCGGATGGCTGACCGTGCTTGGGACACCTATAGTGCACCATATTTCTCTCTAGTTAGAGGGTCAGGAGCCCCCACGCTGACCCTCTAACTAGAGAGAAATAGAGCACTGTAGGGCACCCCCGCTAATTCTACCTTAGCGCGCTGCTCTTCTCAGCGGGGGAGACCGCTCACTGGCGGTCACTGGCCCGGCCCTTGCCCACCGTCACCCCGCCGTCACCCCCGCCGCTCGCTGCCCCGACCCCGCCCACCCCGCCATCGTTACCATCAGCGCGATGTGACGTCAACCCCATCAACATCAACGCCATCTGTCAACGCCGTGGCGACCGTTGACGCCGCATGTTCCGCGGCTGTCCCGGCCTGTCGCCGTTGACAGCCCGCCCCCCGCGCTCGCTGTGCTCGACGTCGTTGAGCACAGCGAGCTCAATTCTTGTCCGTTTGGCACGGGACCACGTGTATTTGATAGATATGATGTAATACAGTAGATTTCCATCACATTTAGGCCCGCGTGTGCGCCCCTTGCCCGGCCGACCCTCCCGCCCGCTGTCCCGCCCTCCCCGCCCGCCCCCCGCCCGCCCCTGCCCGCCCCCCGACCCAAAAAATTAAAAGTTGGGGAATCAAAAAAGAACACGTGCCGTATAGGTGGCACCACTCAAATCGCGTTCGTTGCTGAGATATAGCGCGTTCTTGTTAACTCAAGTTGATGATGTAATTTTTCAAAAAAATAAGAAGGTTGCGTATTGATTGGAAAGCACGGGCAGTACAAGTTTCACCGGAAAAAACGCGTTCATTGTCGAGATATGACGCGTTCTTGTTAACTCACTCTGCCACTACGTATGGTTGTTAACTCAATTTTGACTGAAAAAAATAAAAGTTGTATATTGATTAGAGAACATGGATAGGACAAGTCTCATTGCCAGAAATGAGTTCTTTCTTCTGATATGACCCATTCTTCTTAACTCACTCTGCCACTACGTATGGTTGTTAACTCAATTTTGACTGAAAAAAATAAAAGTTGTATATTGATTAGAGAACATGGATAGGACAAGTCTCATTGCCAGAAATGAGTTCTTTCTTCTGATATGACCCATTCTTGTTAACTCACTCTGCCACTACGTATGGTTGTTAACTCAATTTTGACTGAAAAAAATAAAAGTTGTATATTGATTAGAGAACATGGATAGGACAAGTCTCATTGCCAGAAATGAGTTCTTTCTTCTGATATGACCCATTCTTGTTAACTCACTCTGCCACTACGTATGGTTGTTAACTCAATTTTGACTGAAAAAAACAAATGATGCCGGAGACATATTGCTTGGAAAACAAGTACTGGACTGGTCTCATAGTTCATTTTTTGGCAAGATACTACACTCTCCAAGTCATACTGTGCCTATTGTTAACTCAATATCTATTATCTGGTCCATTCTACTTTCTGAGCGACATGGCAACACCCGCAATGAATTCGACTGCATTATCCTTTGCATCACGACCAGGAAGAACTCGTGGAGAAGGGGGTGGCCTAGGTTGACGCTTTGCAGGAGCAGAAATCACCTTCTGCTTCTTCTGAGGTGGTCCATCGATGGCTTCAGCCGACTTTCGCTTTCCTCCTTTTGCCCCCTTCGCCTTGGGTTTCGGCTTGGGTCTTGGTTTGGTCTTGACTGCCTCACCCCCCCGTTTGCTCGCCCTCTCCTCCTGCTTCATCTTGATTCCCCACGCCTCCGCTTGCCACTTCATCTTGGTTCTCCATGCCTCCGCCTGCTACCTCATCTTGATTCTCCACGCCTCCGCCTGCCACTTCATCTGCGTTCTCCACGGCCCCTCCCGTTCCCATATTAACGATGGAAAACTCGCCCATCATCGACTGCTGGGTCGGTACATCTGCCCCAGCAGGGCGCGGGTCTTCCTCGCCATCATCTTCCGTGCTTGTTTCTGCTGCTGCCGGTGCAGGTTGAACACCACTCCCATCCTCTTCCTCCTGGAATGGAATACCACCCCATTCATCCTCGTCCTCACTGAAATCCTCCTCGTCCTCGTCCTCGTCGATCGTTTCCGCAGACTTCGCCTTCTTCTTCCAAGGACCACGCGGCTTATTGGCGTCTGATCGTTTCGCTCGAAGTCGAAGGGAACCATCAGCTTGCATTTGACAAATCTTGTTGTCCAATGCTTTAACATCGGCTGGCTTCATCATCTCCCATCGCATCGCTCCGCCCCGAAGTGCGATCCGAATTTCACGAAGGACATGGATTTGATATATCCGAGAGGGACTTTGCGGTGCGTTGCCATCGTCGACGCCAGGGATCCCTACGAGTTGAACGTGGTGTTTGAAGCGGATGGCGTAGTCATAATGCTTGTAATACATCTTGACTTTTGGGTCCGTTGTGATCTTTCGCAAGCCTTCGTTAATGAGGCCAACGATCTCGCTCCGGATTCCGACAAGGTCTCGCGCCTCACCAGGGCCTTGAGATGTATTAGGAAAAATCAAAAACAATACGCCTTTAACGCACCATTCTTCTGAGCCTGAGCCCACCCCGCAAATCTCTTGGATAGCTCCATATGCGACATTCCCAAGACTTCGATGACAAACTTTTCGGCTCCCCCGCTGGCGAAGAAGTGCGACATTGCGGCGTCGCCTGGGTTGCCTTTAGAACAGAGCCCAAAAGTGCGGGCCCCCGTCCGATCGTATAGAGCGTTCTGCTTGAAGGATGTCAGCCAGTGAAACAAGTTAATAGAAACAGCACTTACACGAACAGATGTGTTTCCAACGGTGCGATTCACATCGCTCACGTTGGAAGCCTCGGTAAGGCGAGGCCCATGCTGCTGCACCTCCCTGTTCTCCAGTGCGTTTTTTTCTCATCTCCTTGACCTC